TTTTTCACACGATTCAATGTTTCTGTTTTTAAATGTGAGCTTTCGCATACTTCAGCATTTATTCCCATATATTGAAAAACAATTTGAAGCCTCGAAGGATGTTATAATCAACACTCCATGCTGAACCTTACGTCTCCTACAAAAACTGTTATCAAATAAAATGAAGTTACTCAATAGTACATGAACTAGAAATTCCTTAGCTCTTTTAACACAAAACCATACCATTTTTGACATTATTTAATACATGTATAAACATTTTACTAGAAAAAAGCTCTTTGCCAGGCAACATGTTGGTCTTTCTGAGTTGCATACTGTAGAAAAATATAATGTCCTCTTTTTATATAGGGTCAGGTTCCAAATACAACCCCAATTAAAATGACTCCTTAGTTTTCTTTGAGAATGGGGTTTAACTAAATTAAGTAGTATTGGTAAAGTTTAAAATAAATTTTAATGGTTTTTTTTCTGAAATACTACATACGTAGTAAGTCAAAATGTGATTGTTAGTTAATTTTACATGCACTTAAATATAAGGAAATGTCCGACTTCCCCTTGCCCTTACTAAAATAAGTAAAGTTTACATGTAATTAAAAAACAATTTACATGTAAATGACGTATAGATCTACTGTATTTTATGCTTCATATCAATTCCTTAACTTTTAAATATCAATTGTTTATACAGATTTTCATTATTTCAATTATCGCTATAATATCGCTATCTGATATGACTTCCATTATTTGTTTCTTGAATTTCTCGGACATGTTAATAATTCTATTTTGTCTGTAGATGTGAGGTAATCTTTAGAAGACATTTGAAAAATTTTACATTTTTTTAAACAATTGACATTAGATAAGGACATAATGGAAATCAAGGAACCATTTGTGGAATTTTACTCCATGCTTTTTGACATAAGGACCAAGAAAAAGCTTGCTTTATGGATATCACATACTTTTTTTATATTCATAAGCTATTATCAGATAAGAAGTCGGGATGCGGATTGGGGCAAAGGGACCATCAAAATATTCAATGGATTTGACCAGAAATAATAAGAACAAACAAAGCATAACGGTGGGAATTTCAACAGTTAAAAGAAAGAATTTACAATTGACTCTAGATACTTTCCTATCATATTTGTCTCATCTTTCATATACTGTAGAAGCAGAAATTTTCGTGGGGATAAAATTTCGTTGATTTGTCATCAAAAATAGTTTCGTGGGCATTTAATTTCGTTGTTTTGAGAGTAATTGCATTCAATATATAGTCATAAAAAATTTCGTGTGGGATTTAATTTCGTTGATAATTGTTAACAACGAAATAAACGAAATTTAATCCCCCACGAATATTTGTGCTTTTACAGTATAATGTAAAGTCACATATTTTCCAGGGGTCAAATTTTCGTGCTTTGAGGAAAATAGATTGGTTAATGGGGATTTGATTTCGTGGTTGCAGAATTGTTCAAATGTAATATATGTGAAACATTGCATTTCGTGGTGGGCATAAATTCGTGGGTATCTTTATACCTCGAAAATCACGAAAATTAACCCCCCACGAAAATTAGTGATTTCACAGTATTTTGTCTAAATTGTCTTACATGCATATAGTGTCAATTTTAGGACTGATTATTCTGTCTAACTCATCAGAACGTAAGTATGACAGTTGATATGAAAGGTTTACCTGGCAGGGATTTCTTACTTTTACTAGGTACCCGATCCGACCTTGTGATTTTTTTTTTCAGGGGGACCAATTTTTTGCTTTGTTTAAATATTTGTATTCTTATTATACTTTTGTCGATCGGACGATCATGGATAGTCATCTTTTACTAGTCATTAATGAAATATCGAAACAGAAAAGTTTATCGAAACAATACAGTAAGTAGTTTTTGAGATGAGCAAACAAGGACGAGGGATCAGGAAAGGAAAAGTAAGCATTCGATATCGACCGTAACTGAAAGGTGATTGGATGACACAGCCCTGCTATTCCGTGAAATTTAAAAACCATCTAGTGACCATTTTTGATCAACAGATTGGAGATAAAGTTTCATCCTTTGTAACATTAGTCTGTTAAGGTTTCGTCAAAGGTCAACATGTCCAAAAATTTATTTTTACTATAGCCCCAAAACTTTGTGAGGTATAAAGTTAAAACTTTTACAGTTTATAATTTTTTCATTGATTAACAGATAGAAAGTATCACTTGATAAAAAAAATACTCGGAAAAAATATTGATTGAGAAAAATTCTTTTTAAAAATGCATATATTTTCAAAAAATACACCTAATTAATTCAGCGCTCTTAGTGAAAACCATTATTGCAGAAACGAAATATGTTTATCAATGAAGGGCAAGTTGGAGTTGGATAGCCTCTGAAAAGTTGTTTTCCCTGTTTATTTTGTCCAAATCTTAAGACTTGAAAGTGAAAGTACATTGCAAATGGTGGATTCTATAGGGGTCTTGTCTTTATACATGTCATGCTATCAATAACAGCCTTTCAGAGACCATTCACATCCAACTTGCCCTTCAATGATAAACATATATCATTTCTGCAATGATGGTTTTCACAAAAAAGACAGAATTAAGCGGTGCAATTTTCTTTAAATATGCACATTTTCTGATACAATTTTTCTCAAAAAATATCTTTTTAAAAATATTTGTTATCAAGTGATACTTTCTATCTATTAATCAATGATATATCTATAAACTGTAAACGTTTTGACTTTATAACACACATAGTTTTGAAGCTATTGTAAAAATAATTTTTTAGACATGTTGACCTTTGACGAAACCTTAATTTCACTGTACTTTATTTTGCTATTTAAGATGACTAGGAACTCGAATATTTTTGCGCATCTATTGGAAAATTATCATTGGAAACAGATTGTTCAGTTCTTTTCAAAAGTCACGACTTTTAAATTAATTAAAAGAAATCTCACATTCTGTCTTCCAAAACATTTAAGGTGATTATCTTCTTAGTGGTGGTAATTAAAACATTTGAGTACTTTATTTGCACATTAACGACAATTAGCATGTAGGCCTTCATATAGCCTTAAAGCTTAATCTAAACTGTCAATTATAATATTTGGTACACAAAATAAAGAAGAAATAGCCTGGCAAGCAATTCGGTAAAATTGATCTCGATTCATCGGAAGGATTTATACTTTCTTCTGTCACTAAAGTAAACGAAATAACTATCCAGGAATATACGTTCCATTTATCTACCTTCCCCCCTAACAAATTTTAGGCTAATGATATCTACGGAAATCTCATTCAGTCTGACATGGAAGGGAACATCTTACATAAAATATCCACCAGTATGTGGTTTATCAAAGGTAACCACTCAGTCACCACAGAGGGAGATATCCTTTACACAGATAACAAAGAAAACGCTGTATATAGAGAAATTATTGACATGACCACCAGCAAACACATCCAGACAAGAAGCTGGAAAACTGGGGCCATTTATTCCTCTTCTATCAAAGGGCACTTATTGGTTGGATTGAGAAAAAGAAACATTCGTGAAGATTAGCAGATATAGTAGAGAAGGAAAGAAGCTTCAGGACATACAGTGGGATGATAAAGGACAAAATCTGTATCAAAGTATTTACTTCCGTACCGAGAATATCAATGGAGACATCTGCATATCAGACAATGATGCCACTAAAGTTGTGGTGGTGACCACATCAGGAACATATCGGTTTTCTTAGTCTGGGCATGAGTCCCAGTCTGGAGTTAGGCCTCAGGGAATTTGTACAGATGTCTTGGGCCACATTATGGTGTGTAATGGCTACATTACCGGCGCGTCTGATGAGAACTGTTCCAGTGTCCACATGCTGGATATTGATGGTCAGTTTCTGTCATTCCTAACACTTCAGATCAGTGTCCCGTGTTTCCTGCGCTCTCTGCATCGATAATCAGCACAATTTCTGGGTTGGGAATTTTAAACGTTCTACTGTCTCTGTTTACAAGTATTTACAGAATATAGAATAATAATTTCTGATAAGTTAAAACGCTCTTTCCTTTTGTGTCCCTTACGTCTGACGCATAAATGTAATGAGCATAAGATTCAGATAGATTGTTGTCTCCTATTTTTGTTTGGGACAGAAGTACATATTATACATGAAAATGAATGCCTAATCTTTGTGTAAATTTTGTACTTAATTTTCAAATGATTTGGAAATAGCAATGTGTTCAGTTTTACATAAATCGGGGTTTATCTTAAATTTTTTCTTAAAATATGAAATTAATGTAGTTCAAGTTATTTGTAATGTTAATTGTTTTCCTGGTTTTTCAGTACAGAACAACACATTATTTAAGTATTTGATAGTAGTAAGTGAGAGCATTACATATCTTTTTTCCCTATTATACCCCATATCAGCCATCCCAAAATACCTTGAAACCAAAGGATCTGTTATGATAGCTATATTTAAACCGAAACTGGCTAATTGAGATATGTATTATAATGTTTATTTCATAGTTACTTAGAAATACAGATACAACACATATAAGTTGAGCAAATACAAATAAACGCCAGATAGTTTCTCTTATCAATAACAGTAATTAAAAAATAAATACAAAATTACTGTTTATACAGATATGAGGGTTTATTATCCAAACTCTTTTAATATGTGTAAATGTTACCGATGATGAATTGATTGATCTCTGAAAGTTCCAAACAATACAAATATGAGAATAGGATATAAATACAAGTATTATAAATGGACAAGAATGAAATTTGTTTACATATAAAATGGTATATTTAAAAAATCATGTAGGTATACAATAGCGTTTTTGTAAAACAATGTATCTTTGAAACTGAATGTTTAATGTCAATTCACGCTTTTTTGATAAAAATTACAATAAATGTGTAGATTAAAGTAAGATATTCAAACATTTGACATTTATTATATAGAAACATACACTTACTAATTTTCACAACCTTATATTTAATTATTTAAGACAAAATTTCAATGCTTTTGATATAAAAGGAGAAGTGCATCTAAATGAAAATAAGTATGTGTAAATAGTTTGATTTACTGAACACATTTTTACAGAATTATATATGTAAAGAATCCTTTCTTTCTTCAGACTAGATCCTAACAATAAGTGTTGGTGAAGTCAGCCACAAAGTTGTTGATATAAGTTAATAATTGTAAAGTCTTCTCTTCATCACACATTGTAGGTGGGAACTGGAGCTAAAAAGATATAAAGAATGAAAAAATAAGACGTAACAGATTTTAAAAAAAACATGTTTCCATATTTTTTTTTTTGGTTTTCAATATATCCCGTGTGCTACTTGATACAAGTTAGATCGTTCTGATGTTGTTTGTGTTTTTAAGCAATGTTTCCTCTGTTCATTTTTTTTTTTGAGTTTGAGCTTGAATACAGTTCATATTAATCTCAAATTTTCATCCAAACATGTATATATAAGTGAAGTATTTGATTTTGTTTTACGCATACAAGTACACATATTGACCATTAGTATATATCTTAATTGTATTTTTCATATACTATGAATTAAACATGGTTTGGGATGATCAATGTTTGCACGTTTCGTTATTTACCTACCCTAGGATATTTTTTTCATTACATATATTCACTGAATTGCACGTTCATAAAGATGTTTGTTGCTCCTAAGTTTATTTCCCAACAAACAAGTAATAATTGACATTTCCGCGAACACTAAAATTACTATAGTAAATTGATGTGACAGTGATTTATTAAGTCTTTTATCTTGAGCCCCAAGCGCGCAAAATTGAACAGATTATACGGAAATATACAAAGTACATTATACATTACCTTGAGCACAATTTAATTCCGTACACCTGACGTCACCCGTGTTGGCACAGACACATGTATTACAGTTATCTCCCTTGTTGAAATGTTGCCCGGATGTATATTTCTTACCTCTGTACATACAATCTACAAAATAAAAATATTCAGTTGAAATAAATGTGTTAAAAATATCCTGTTATGAAGTCTCAGGGACAATTGATTTTAATTTGTTACAAACAAGATAACTGATCACATTATCAGTTAAAAACAACAAACAGTTTGAATGTATGATTTTGATTGGAGATTTTAAACGGTTATGAAAGTGAGGAATTTTTAGTGCCAAAAAAACATTCCGTGACACCATGATATTTTATTATCAACTTTGTTGAATCGACTTTATTTTCATTTTACTTTTTTATTTATTTATTTTTGCTTTTGTTCGTATATTATTTTAAAGTAACTTAAATTCTCTCTTTTATTTTTGGTTAATTTTGATGTTAAAATGGCAAAAAATATATTTATGTCTAATATGATATATAAGTCCATGTAACAAAACATTTTTGGGGGAGGGCGTTACAAAATATGTAAAACGAAAGATGTAATCGTTAGGGATTACCTGGATAACATTGCATTTCTGTGCAGTTGACTGATCCATCTACCATACACCAGCATGTATTACAGGTATCTGGCTTAAAACTCTGCCCTGCTTTGTAAATAGCACCTCTATAGCTACAGGCTACAAAAAAAAACCCGGAAATTTTGAATTGCTGTTTCAATCATTCATTTAATGTTCACTTATCCTTTCTTGAACAATTTTCCATCCATCCATTGACAACATGAGTTATGCAATGATCTTTTTAAATAAAGGAGGATTTAGTTTTTCTTTTTTTAGGGAAGCAACTTGTCTTCCGACAAGTACTCTATACTAGTTTGTTAAAGTGTGTTTTCAAGAAGAGATATTAAAGAGGGAGGTCCGGTGCCACAGAGAAACTTTGTATTGAAACTCTGATTGTACAATTGCCATAAAAGGTTTAGTATGAAAATATCTGAAGCACTCACTGATATCTTGGTACGGTGAATATAAGTGAAATAATCTTGCAAATGCATTAATTATACACAAAATATATTTGTGAAATAAATCACACTTACTTCTATGACATTGTTTCTCAGAGCATTGAACGGTTCCATCAGCCAAGCATGTGCAAGTATTACACCCGTCCCCTTTTTCAAAAACAGCACCTTTGACGAAAAATTCTTCCTTGTATCGACAATCTAAAATGTAAAGGAAAAGATGGGAGAGATGAGATGTACAGGGGAAACAAAAAAAAAAAAAAGAAAGAAACATTGATACTAAACTACCCTTACTTACAGACAAACAAAAGGACAGAGACCGAACGAACCATAATCTACTCTAATAACTTTGTACAGGTGAGTCGATGATATTACCTGGATAGCAAGGTGCATTTGAACATGTGTAGGTTCCATCGTTCATACAGGTACATTCATTGCATCCATCCCCTTTGCGGAAGGTCTTGCCAGCTGGGTAATGTTTACCATTGTGTTGACAATCTTGCAAAAAGAAAGAAATCAAACTTATGACCAAACATTAATTTACCTTTCTTCAATTTTGAGAATGGTGTTTCTATCAAAACTATTATTCTTACATCAGCTGTCATACAAAAATAATTATCTAATAAATTTTACCTTATTTGATTTTATTTTATTAACTTGGTAATAAACAATGAAATAAAAAATCATTTTACCGAATGGTAATCGACATAGACTTCGACTCATTATATTATAATTATTTTTTTTTTTCATTTTCATTTTTTTTTATCTTTGTGGTGCTAATATATATGCACTATTCTTACGATGAAGAAGAAAAATTTAATTGGAATTTTTTGTATCGTTTCATAGACAACAATATTATTTGTAGAAAGTACATTAATTATATTGCACCAATGGGAAAATTAATAGCACATGATTAAAACTCACATGGTAGACAGCTGTGTTCAGAACACATGATATCTCCGGTATCAGTACAGGTGCAACTATTGCAACCATCTCCTTTTGGATAGGACTGTCCAGTTTTAAATCTTTGGCCTTGTGGTGTAACACAGTCTAAACGATTAAAGAAAGATTCCGTAATATATAAGGAGCATACACACCTGTGAATTGCCGGCGGGGATTTTCAATCCACTTAGGTCTTATGTTTTTGAGATTTGCATCTGCTCTGTTATAGATTCATATTGTTTAAATGGAGTTTGAGTCTAAATATTGTTCAAATTGTTCAATATCCTCCTATTTCATTCCATAAGGTGGTTATCATTTGTATTTAAAGTTGTATAATTGTGACTAGGAATGAAAAATATGATCTAATCTATTACTTCTAATAATATACATTGTAAGTCATGTAAACAGATATGTTTTGAAAATTACATCTAGTCAGAAACCAAGCAACAAACATTCCTCCTCACAAAAAAGGCTAATTATTTTGTCCTAAAATATTCATTGAAATTTCCATCAATCAACGTATATATCCATATATCCACTCCATTTTGATAATTATATCTGTCCATTCATCCATTCATTTACCTATCCTTTCTTGCGTAACTGTCCATTTATTAATTTATTTCCCCATCCGGTTCTGCGCAACTGTCAATCCATCAAATCATTTACATGTACTTATCCTATTATGCATATATTTCCATCCATCCATTACTCATCTTTTCATACATACATTTCCATGCATTCATTCATTTACCTAACCAGCAAACCATTTCTTCCATCAACTCAGTACCTATGTTTCCTGACTATCCATTCATTTATTTAATCATCCTTTCATGTTTACCTGTTCCTCCATGTATTCATTTTACCTACTCTTTCTTTCGGAACCGTCAATACATCAAATTATTGTCCTATCCTGTGTTACACACCAAAACCATTTATTTACCTACCCTATTAATTTATGCGCAAATGTCCATCCGTACAATCATTTACCTATCTTTTCTTGAACACCGTCAGTCCATTTACTTATCTTTCTTACGCTCTTGTCTATCCATCCATTTATTAACATATCCTTTCCAGTAATCCATTCATTCACCTATCCTTTCTTACGCTCCCAATCCATATATTTATTCATCTATCCTTTTGAACACCTATCTATCCACCAGTTTATCATTTACCTGTCCTTCATTACGCGCCGGGAAAACATTTTACTATCCTTCATTACTTTCCTCTAAAACATTTACCTATTATTCGTTACGAACCTGTAAACATTTGTTATCGGTGCACATTATGTCTTTACCTATCCTTCGTTACATACCTGTAAAACATTTCTTATCGGTGCACGTTATGTCACCGGTTAAACATGTACCTGTCATTCTTTACGTACCTGTAAAACATTTGTTATAGGTACACGTTATGTCGCCGGTTAAACATAAACCTATCCTTCTTTCCCTACCTGTAAAACATTTGTCATCGGTACACGCCATGTCACCGGGTAAACATTTACCTATCCTTCTTCACCTACCTTTAAAACATTTGTCATCGGTACACGTTATGTCAACGGTTTAACATTTACCTATCCTTCTTTACCTACCTGTAAAACATTTGTTATCGGTGCATGTTATGTCACCGGTAAAACATTTACCTATCCTTCTTTACGTACCTGTAAAACATTTGTTATCGGTACAGGTTATGTCACCGGTTTCTAAACACGTGCATTCATTACAACTATCCCCTTTTGAGAAGACATCACCAGGCTTATAGGATATCCCCATATGTTGACAACCTGTAACAGAAATGTATAATATTGTAATACATATAAATGTACATTTCTTTGTTGTTATGAATTCGTGGATATTCTCCATACTTCGAAAACAACGAAATTTGAATTAGTCTCTTTATATCTGAGATGAATTACCCGGATAGCATGGATACTGGGAACACTCGACCTTTGTACTCGGCATGCATTTGCAGGTATTACAACCATCCCCACTGGCAAAATCCACACCGATGTTATAGATCTGCCCCAGGTACTCACAGTCTAAAAAATAATGTTAGGCTAATCCATAAACAACTTTACTTGCATTTTCCTGACCAATGAAATCAAAATCTGAATTAAAAAATATGCATGAAATGGCCTAGTTCTTATAGCAATTCATAAAATTTCATCTTGAGAATCAAAGTATTGGAAAACAAGCTTTGAGAAAATGCAATTATTTTCCGAAATAGGTCTTTCCTGTTGTAACTGCATATTTTGGATCAGAGGTTTTGCTCTTTATGAAATACTGAAAGAAAACTTCAATTTTAGGTCTTTTTCAAGCGAATTCACAGGATATTGGGAAAAGGACGCATCTTATTCTGTCAAAATACTTTGACTAAAGGAAAACTTAGGTCATGTAAGACCCATTGTTACCAACAATGTAAGTGATAAATACTGCATTTTCAAGCTGATCTGAGAAGTTTTAATTTTTCAGAAATTCTTAGTGTCAAAAAAAGCCTTAAGTAGATCTTGCTCTTTAACACTACTTTTATACAGATGTTTCCAGTATAATCAATCTTTTTTTCAAAGGTAGTAAAATTGCAGTTTCACATATTCATTTAATCATTTTTTTTTTTATCTTAAGACAAGATGTTTGAAAAGCTGATGTTTCTGAATGACATTTAATGGCCAAGGGTTGAAGTTTTTTAAATGTAAGTCAAACGCCATGGTCAAGATCTAAACGTAAACATTCTTGGATTCCATAGATTGATCCTGTAATATGGATTATAATTTTTTTATTGTTCCAACTATCTGATTGGCACAAACTAGATCACATGATCAAGTATAAAAAAGTGTAACAGACTCAATATTTCTATTCTTAAAATTAAAAAACCTGCTGTTTCTAGAATTGGAAACTTTATTCTGTACATGTGATGCAACAATAGTGCTGACGTCACAATAGTCTTTAAAAATTTGACGTTTCTAAAAACAAATACTGCAGCTGGTATTCATTACTGTAACGTCATAAGGCAAATGACATAACAATGCCTTCTATGAGAAGGTATTGAGAATTAGAAAGAAGGATTTAAAGACATCTCTTATTAACTAACAAAAATAAGAAAACAATTGTAGCCCTTTGATTCGGTACAATCCCTAGATATATAGACCTTAGAAAAAGCATATCGACCTCGCATTTCGTGCTCGGTAGCTATGCTTTCTCTAAGGTCTATAAATCTATGGAATGACCTCATTAAAAGGCTATAATTGTATAATAAACCTGTGAAATATGAAAGCCAGTGAATTAATAGTTTTAAAGTTATTACCGATGTTAATGTTTTAAGAGTGGGTCATACTTGAAGCTTAAGGTAAAAAAATACTGATACTCATTGAAATGTTTTGGTTTAGAGCATCAACTATTTTAGAAGCCATATACAAGATTAAAGTTTGGATTTTTAAGTGGGTCAGTTTCAAGGTCAAGAAGATAAGGATGAAGGTACAAATAAAAAGGTCATCTTAAGAGGAAAATTGTTTTTACTGCACATTTGTTTCAGAAAGCAGAGTACAAGAAGAGTTCAAGCTTGCCTATCTACCAGATTTATATATTTCATAGCCAAGCTTGCGCTCGATGTTTCCTTAAGAAAGAAGTATCTTAAATATGACAAATTCAACCAAAATTAGGAAATTGTATTTTTTGCACCCTCTTGGGGCCTCTTTATAACCTTTGAATCAAAGTAAGTGCTGGTTTAAAAAAAACAAGGATTATTTTAGTTTTTTTAACAACGTACTATCCGACTTTCCACAGTGCTTTGATTTTTACATCAAGCAATGGTCCAGAATCGATCGTTACCTTATCTTATCCTTACTATGCAAAGAAAAAAATGTTATATGGCAGTACTAGTGATGTCTTTCCATAACTTTTTAAAGGTGAATCGTTCACGTGAAGTGCAATTTGTGACGTTCTGTATAAAAATAGTTGTTTATTCGCCATTTGTCTGGTATTTGATGTTTTTCTTCATTACCTATAAGGTTTGAACTTTCAATATTGATTTCAGACAGACTTGAGACATGATTAAAATCCTGTGGGGAAAGTTTATATTATTTATTCACCATACAAATAGCAATTAATTTTATTCTTAGACGCTTTATAATAATTATGTTATAAAACCTTTAGTCACGAAAAGCAATTAACATTTATACATATTACACCTTTGATTTTTTTTATTATGCATTTTGATGCATTCTTAAGTTAAGCATTGCGAGGTATTGTAGCCATTCCGTGAAGATAAAGATTTCAGAAAAAGAAAAAAAATTATTCCAACACTTGTATTTTTTTAAATGACACAAATTATATAAATACATCTGACAACAATTTTAATTCGAGAAAAAATAAATTGCTCAATATGTCTGTTCTCTCTTATTGAAAATTAAATAGGACCCAATATTTAATATACATGTATTTAACTCAACATATGCACTACAGAAAAGGTGTACTTACACTCCGAAACAGCAGGAGAAATCAATAAAATTGCTAAAAATCCAAGACTAGTTTTCCACATGGTTAAATGTAAAAATCCTATCAAAGTAAACGAAAATCTTCTGCCACAGAAGCGTGCCTAATTAATTAAAATCAAGGTGTAATATGGACACCTTATTTATATACTGCTTATTATAAATTATAAGAACAATACCGCTAATGTTAATTGAGGTTTAACATCGAAACCTTCACGTCAATTAATACTGTATGTAAATTTCATTTGTACCACTCCCTTTCAGTATGGTGTACATTTCCTCATTTGAAAACTGTGTGCGGTTAGAATGCAAGATGCATAGTTTTTGAAACAAGTAGGAAATGGACATTTCTTATATTTCAAGAGGGGGAGGGGATTTCAAAATATTTCCTAGCCACAAGACATTAAAAAAAATCAAAATAATTCATATTGTTGTGGTACACTCCAAGCGGTACAGTAAGCAATCAAAATGATAATTAGAGAAAATATACATGATCTTACTTATCACATACCCTTTATCAAAGACTTGAGAGTATATAATTTTGTCATGTCCGTCTGTCTGTCTATCTGTTCTCATTTTATCCGTGAAACCTGGGTGGTTTTAGACCTTTCATATCTCACAGATGTATTCCTTGTAACATGACTTTTCCTCGGGCACCACAAAATTTGACCTCTTGACCTTAGAGTATGACCCAATTTAACACAAAATTACAAGAACTTTAACCTTGATTATTACTTTTGAACAGTTGGTGCTATTTCTTTCATACATCTCACCTGTGTTTATTTTGGCAGGATCTTCAATGGGTTTAAATTTTTTTGACTTTTTTATCTTGACCTTTGAGCTTGACAATAAATGTTTGAACACCTAGAAGTAGATTTCACCTGTTTATTCATTATGACAAAATCGACCTTTGGATATCAGCAATTTGACCTTTTACAAGGGACATAAGTTTTCTTAAAAACATCTTGTTTCAAAATTAGAATAACTTATACTAAACTTAATAATCACAAGCAATCAGTGTGAACATATTTTAGTACTGAAGCAAAATAAATTCTTTTATTATTGTTTGTACCAATGAAGGCAGATATATATTTAAAAGCAGCAGAGTTGGAAGGACGGCTGTATCATACAATTGTGTCTTACCATCAATTATCTTTACCTTTTTGAATCTTTTTCTTTTTATATGATTTTCAATATCTTGTTAATGCCCACGGAAATATTCTTTGGTTGTTTGGTTCTTTGGTTGTAACACTTTAAAATAAGGATTTTAGGCCTCAACCATTTCTAGCTGCAGATCCACATCAATAATATTATTTTTGTTTTATACTAATGGTGTGAAGTTAGACCCATAAAGGCGTCGAAATGATGACCAAAAAATCTTGAACTAATATAATCCTTGTAAATTCAGGAGATTAAAAATTTACCAGGGTTGTCTGTAAAGTTCGTGGACAACATTGATAATTAAAGATAAACATTGATAAAATATATGAAACTATTATTTTCCTTAAATTCATGTTTCATTTTATTTATACGCAAGTTTAAAAAAAAAAAAAAAAGGCACAAAAAGTTATAATTTATGAGATACAAAATAGAAACACACTCATTCCGGGAGCATTTAAACGAAAATTAATGACGTTACCTGACGTCAAAAGTTAAATACATGTAACTGTTGTCACAATACATTTCTTATGTCGCTTTAACCAATTATCAAAAATGTGCAGAAACTGTTCAAGTTTCATACATGAAATACCATTTGACACTTCCTAACCCAGTTCTTGCAATTCATCTAGCTTTTGTTCCCGAAACAATTACTTTATGTACGGAAATACGTCAAATCACTTTATAAACTTCATTTTTTTTACAGCAATGCAATCTGGGATTTATTGTCTTCCTTCACACATGTCATCTAGCAAACTCTCCCTTCCCTATAAAAAATCTGAGTCACTTAAACACTAAAGAAACAACTTACTTCACTATGTTTTCCTGACTTTTTAAGGAGTTTATGGATTTCTGATGGTGTTTTTCCGATATCTACACAAAATTTTAATCACTGCTATCTACTCCACCTTTTCCGAAAATGTCTCTTTTTAAAAAAAATGACGATCCTGTCTTAATATATTCTATCCTCGATTTTTCAGCTATTTTGAAACATTGAACTTTCAAACTTTGCAGAATTGACTTTATAACTTTTCTCAACCTCAAAATGTAAAAGCCATATATATTTTTTTTCTTTAAAACTTTGCCGTCCTCCGGATCACCATCCTTACTTTAATAATAAATTCATAATTGTAATTATACATTTGAAATTAGATAACATTTAACATTTTGTAATTTACATTTTGTAAAGGATTATCGCAATTCTAATAATAAAAAAGCAATGACACATCTTTTATTTAAAACTTAGCTTGTCTACAAACTTTACGGACAACCCCTGTACAAATATATAAATGATTCGACGAAAATATAATTTCCATTGTGTTAAAACTATTTAGATTAAAACTGAGACATTTTTAATTAAATATATACTTAGTAAACATCAATATGGATTTGGAAACAAGCAAAACCCAAGAACAACCTCTCCTTATTTAATAGGTCTAGACAGAGACAACGAATATTAAACATGAACTTTATTTTCCGATATGACAAGGAGCATGCGGCCGGAGAGAACGGTTGGGAAAGGAATACTCACTCCTCCACGGCACCTGATCCCACCTCTGATGTTTGGAGGTTTTGTTTTGTTTTGTAAACTTCTGTATTGTTCTGTGGACTTTTGAGCTTGAATATTGTCCATAATCTACTTATATTACATTAAATTACCAAAGTTGAAACACCTATATCATCTGATCGTTGCTCCAATAATTCAAGGCTTTGGTTGGAAAACAGATGCTTATTTAGAATTTTTGACATTCGCCCTAAGACCGTTTCAGAGTTTAATAGATGAGGGAATGAAACTATTATACAAAAAAAAAACACTCTCTTACAAATTGGTATACACAAGTTATTTCATCTAGATCTGAGGTTGAATTCATGTTGAATTCATAAAATTAAGTACAGAACCAAAAATATAACTAATACATCAATTGCAGTTTGTGGTTTTCAAAGTTACCATCCAAGGTCACCTTAAAAGAAACTCTGGGAGATTTGACTCAGAGCACGTAATGATTATGAAAGCTTTGTTATGAGCTTTTCCAGGTACATGTACTTCTGCATATTTTTTGGTACAATTATCCCACACAATGTCTGCACATTCTCAAATTGCTCTGATAAAAGCAAGATTATTTTTGTTATGGAATTCCAATCTATACTAATTTTCAGTAGCATATGTACGTGTTTATTCAATCCTTTGCATTCCCTTTCATATTTGTTTGATATATGTTTATCAAAAGACCAATTTGCCTTAATTGCATTCTTAAAAGAATAAATGTCTTGTTTTGTTTTATTAAACCACCTCTTTTCCAAATTAAATGACAGAATTTTTTTTTTTTTGTAAAATTAACATCTACATTTTATAAAAAAAAATCTACAGCCAAAGCTTTGGAGCATTTTCTTTTCTTAAGGATATCTAGTAGGAAGAACTTGTAATTTCCTTGTAAATAATTATAGCAAACAAAAAGTATCATATATAAATAATCGAGAATTAATTGATATATCTTTTGCTCTATCATTTATGTGTAATTTATGTGTAACAAACTCAAAACGGAACAAAGTACGGACTCACTGAGCTCAACAGGGACTTCAGTTTTTAAGGTAGTAAAAACCTTTCCAAATTCCCTCTTTGATGTCTTGTAGTAAGCTATTTGTCCACAAAACCCAGAATATTGCTTCTAAAATCATGATTTTTCAGCTTTAAATAACTTTCGTTGCCTTTTTTTCAAATTTATATAACATGTACTTGCATTCATTGTTACGAATGGAAGCACATTCTTTGTGAGAGATATTTCATGAAGAAAATACATAACGATTTATTCATAGGATAAAGCGTTTGCTTAAATGTTCTTGGAGAAGTCCCCTCTAGTCTTGATAGTTAAAAGAAAACGAGATCAGGTATACTTAACTGAGCAAGATCATCTTGATCGTTTACTTCAAAATCACAAAAATATGCTAGTGACCCATCTCAATATTCAGGCCAATGTGGCTCATTTTCAATATGTGATATATCTCAGAAATAAGTACTAAATTCATGAGTTTAGTCATTAAATAATCCGATATGCTACCATCTTGTAAAAAAAAACAGACGATATGGGGAAAATTATTTCTTATACAAAGGAACAGATTTGCCATTCAAAGTTGCAATGAAATATCAGTATTGAACAATTATGGAAGATTCAAGTTTCTTATAACCATAATCACAACATTTAGAATACATGTAGGATCAAACCATAATAGGGGATTAAAGACTCTGCCTCTACTCCAATGATTTCACCTTTGTGAAGTTATCTTTATACATATACCTCCTACGTGGTGGTATCTGCTGACCATTTTTTGGCTTGCATGTTTACTTGATAATGCCCACCCCTATCCTAACCCCCTAACTGAAAATATTTTATCTTGTACCTAAAATGTTTGACGTGCCGGAGACCACTGAAGACAATTTTACAGGAGAATTAGCAAGAATTTTAAGGATCTCTTCAGGACCAAAGTGTCATTATACACTCCACTGTTAAACATGGTTTCCTTTTTGAACTTCACATTAAATTTTACAGTATTTTTTCATCACAAATGCATAAAATGTGGTATTTAGTTATTCACCTGTCTCGCCAATATGGAATGTAATGGATTTCACAATGCAGTTGGTAATATATTTAAACGGATTTTTTTTCATACTTTTTGACTGCTTCTGTCAAGACGAATAGACTTTAAAACTTATAAAGTCTGCAAGTTGTTACGCAGTAAGATAATGTAAACCCTCTTTTAAGAAAATTAAAATCTTTTTGTTGTCAAAAATCCAGTCTTATACTTTTGACAAAATTTCATTTATCTATAAATAAATAATAAAATTAATTTAAAAAAACTGTGGATTCAATCAAGATTAATTATGAATTTGAAAATGCATAAAAAAAATTCAAATATAAAGTGAAAATCATATTATATATTAAGGTAATAATGACCTAACTGCGTTTTCTTAATAAATACAATTTGCACTTCAAGTGGTTCCTTTAATAAAGCATTTAAATTTGTTCTTTTACATTCATTAAAAAATACAAGCATTTCTTTTAAAGAAAAAGAAATA